CTTTGTCTTTGCAACACGGCGATGGTGTCGTAGTTGGTGTCGTGGTTAGTGCACGGCGCTCCGAACCCAGCGACACGCGTGCCATTCTAATAATGGTGCGGAATATTTGATGCATTTCTGGGCCTTCCCGAAGTCGACTCCACCTTAAATATGAGTGTGCCTGGTGCAGTGTGTGTACACATCAGCACTGGGGAGACAAAGGTGGCCAGGCGTGGTGTTGTCCACCCGTGCCCTCGTAGGGATCGACATAGGGCGTGCTGAATCAAATGAATGAAGCGTGTCTGTGTGTGTACGTGTATATCTCTCGTGACACAGTCCCATCAAAGAACTCCTCTGGCAGGCTGCGTTGGCTGGTTCATATAGCCCGCATGCCTAGCTACTGCATGTCCAAACAGCTTCTGTTTGGCCGGACAGAGGCAGCTAAACGGGCGCGGCACGGGCTAGAGAGGAGATTGAATGATGTCGTACAAGAGGATGTGGTGCTGAGTGGACTTTCCGATGACCGGTACCAGCTGTGTCAATATTGGCGACTGGGTAGGAAATCGCCCACCAACTACAATGAAGGGCAGTGGAGCGATGCTCACAACAACGAGTAGAGTGTCGGGAAGCTAAAACGCAGCGAGTTGACACAGTGAGGAGCACAGGCAGTGCATCTGCCGGTCATCTCAGTCCGTCAACCAATAGCACCTGGGTCTGGCCCGTGACCTCTGGCCAGCAAGCCTATGGCTCTTCACGTGGCCTCAAGTGCGCCGAGCCTGGCTCAAGGTCTGCGGTGTCATCACGCCACTTTGTGACGAATGGCTGCAGTTGTTGTCTCTCGTGACGTGCAGGGCGCTCATTATTTGTTCTCTGCCAATTATTGTGAAAGTGCTTCATGTGACGACCTCATTTGTCTTTTTTAACGGAGGCAATTAGGAGCGTGCGAGATTGAGCTCTATTCTAGGGAGCGATGTCTCATCCTCCCGTGCTCGCTGATCCACGCTGGGCCCAATCCCAGTGAATTCGGATTCGCAGGAGTTGCATTTACATTTTACAACTCTGTTGCTTGCACAGACGCACGCACGCCCACATAAAGCCTTTATGAAAACGTAAATGACAGAGGGGCGACATTCCGTGCCCACTGAAGCGTCGTGCTGCAGGGGACCGGCAATTAGCCCGTCGCTCATCATCAAGAGGTGGCGCCTCTCAGCAGCCCTGTCACTGGCACCGTGCCACAACACGTGGCACTGTTTGCCCCCTCCCATTGGTGCCACAGGCTGGTTCACCACGAGTACTTTACTCCCCCTCCAGCCCCAATTAGCCGGCGGTGGTGGCACACGCCTGTAAACCAGCACTGTGGAGCCGGTGAAGGGTTAGTGGATCGCCGCACACATCTTGTGAATCTCCCTTCCCGCGGGCGTCGAGAAGGCGCTACAGCAAACTGCATATATCTGTATGTACGGGATAGAGTGTTGCCCCCTCGCGTCCGTGGGTTTTCTTCAGCTGCTCTGGTTTTCCTACCAAATGTGAACGCTCATTAATTGGCCGATACCATCTTCATATGTAGAGGACTGCAGAGCTTGGGGGTGGAGAGAATTTGCTGTCGGCTCACTGCCTGGCTGCCGCTGTTGCTGCTGCCGCCGCCTTCCCGCTCCTGTCTGTGGTTCGGCCGCCTTCGCATATACAGGGTGCTTAAAAAAATATTAACACTTACATGGGACTATTGTCTTTAATGGAAAAAGAACGGATAATACACTGTTAGAGGATAACAAATGTATGTTAATAGCTTCAAAAAATCATCAAAGAGCCTCCACTTGTTTGCCATCGTTGTCAACGCTGCCTGGAATCTTCTGCAGGTGGTCTCCAGAGCCTGGAGGCAGCACATTTCTTGAGGTCTTGTTGCAAATTCTCGGAAGCGTTAACATTTTTTTGAAGCACCCTGTATTTTCGGCACGCGTGTGTGTTTTTATGTGTCTGTGTGCAGACAGAGGCTGGCACAAGCGCCGTGGTCACGTCACCGCCACTTATTTGCGAATGGTGGTTGTTGTTGTTGTACGTAGAGGAGCGTTAGCGTAGCAGTTAGCGTGCTGTGCCACGGACCTGGCGGCCAGAGTTCGATTCCTGCTCACGGCCAACATTATAGACATTTTTCTGAACTGGTCCTGGTTTTCGCCTAGGTCGACTCAGCCGTGAATGAGTTCCTGTTGCGCTGTGTGAACGCCAGCACTGGGGAAGCGAAGGTAGGCGGGCGTGGTGCTGGCCACACCTACACCTCGTATGCTGTTCTGCCATTGGCAGGTGCCCACTATTGGCACTTGCCCCAACAGTCTGTGTCGGCTACACGGCGATTCTTTTGGCTTATTTGTGGTTCCTTGTGGGTGGTGGGCGGCGGTGCGGTGGTTCGGGCACTGCTCCATCAACCCGGCGATCTGAGTTAAACTCCTGGCTGCGAGCAACACCAGGGGCAAGTGGTACCTGAATCTGTCCTGGGCATCCCCTAGGTTGACTCGGCCCTCTAACATCGCTTGTCAAAGACTATATGGAGCTATACGATGTGGTATGAAAGGACACACCTAGCTTGGCACAAGGGCACATAGTGTGTCACAAATACGAAGGTGATATCACTCCCACAGTGGCAAATCGTAACTGTTGTTGCGTGTGTTAGAGAATTGTCAGCGATAGTCAGATGTTCTGCATAACAGCCAAGAAGTGATATTTTTTTTTCTAAAATTAGCATTGAGACAGCGCTCATCTCCTGTGGTGGGTATTCCACATTCCTATGATGGAGGGCAGTCTATTCATAGTACACAATCTTCAACTAAACAATGCCTATTTTTAGATTTGAAGCTTTCGTGATTGCAAGGATTCATACTCTTTCGGTTTTTTTTGGAGGATACAGCGATTTTTTTCTGTGTCTGTTTCACCTGAAGACGGAAGCTTGTGTTGCCTTCGAAACGTCGTGATTTGATTTAAACAATGCCTGCAACTTTTTATTATTATTTTAACCCGCAAAAGGACATCGCATGCTCATGTATATTTTACTCTGCAATGATTACTGTGGTCTAACCTTTGGTTAATCAGCTCTAATATATATTTGACTGGCAGCACACGCACATAGTGCTGTGTATCATAACAGTTTAACCTTTCCATACTGTAAGCTATTAAGATTTTTCTGGGCCAGGCGTTGGAACTCATTTAAGAAAAATTGGAAACGTTGGCAAAACTGTCAAGTATCCGTCCAGCGAGCGGGCGTCACTTTGCAGCTGCGTCATCCCTGACTGACGGCCGCGGCTCGCCCGTGGGCTGTTGGCCGTGACCCGAGCCTCTCCTGCCGAACGCAGCGATGCCCAAAGGTCGCCGGGAGGTTCCTTCGTCCGCGACACCTCGGCTCGCGGGCTTGTGTGTGTGTCTGTGTGTGTGCGTGTGTGTGTCCGTGTGCGTGCGTGTGCGTCCGTGTGTGTGTGTGCGTGCGTGTGCGTGCGTGTGTGTCCGTATGTGTGTGTGCGTGTCCGTGTGTGTCCGTGTGTGTCCGTGTGTGTGCGTGCGTGTGCGTGCGTGTGTGTGTGTGCGTGTCCGTGTGTGTGCATGTGTGTGTGTGTGTCGACACTTCACGTGGCCTCAGGGTGCACATAGCCTGGCACAAGCGTCGTGGTGACGTCACCGCCACTTAGTGGCGAATGGCGGTTGTTGTTGTTGTGTGTGTCCGTGTGTGTCCGTGTGTGTGCGTGTGTGTGCTTCATCGGTGGGGAGCAGCGGTATCGTAGTTGGCACACCACACTTCGAATTTTGATTCCCGCGACCGGAATTTGATTCCTGCTAGCCGGGTTTGCCGACAAATATCTGAACCAGTCCTGGGCCTCCCCTAGGTTGACTCGGTCTTAACAATGTGTGTGCCCGGTGCGGTGTGTACACATCAGCACTGGGGAGACAAAGACAGCCGGGCGTGATGTTATCCACTCGCCCCCTTCGTAGGCTATATGGGGGATCGACATAGGGTGTGCTGAATCAAATTGATTAGAGCCTGGTGCTTCTCTTCCACCTCTGGGTGTAATTCCTCGCGTGCACCGCTCCGCGCTCCCTCGGGCTTTGTTTATTCGGCATTCCGTGCTCTTGGACGATGTCCACGTTTGCGACCCACATGGCGTAGCAGGAAGTGCGCGTTAATTTGAAAAGGGGTGGAACGCTTCCGCAGACGAACGCGTGTTGGAGAGCGTTACAAGACCCACGCGTATGCATGATTTTTGTTCCCTGTTGCAAGGTTTGTTTTTATAAAATTGGACCGCGTCGACCAATGTGTGTATAATACTTGCTCGATGATGTCAGTGCGGTTGGGGTTAGGGGGTGAATTGTTCTTTGTAATTACCAGAGAATTTAGACTTGTGCACGCAGAGTCTAACACAAAAGGGCAACGTGCCTCTTTCACTGCCCCAATTCCTAAACTTAAACTCTCTCCCCTAATCCCTGACCGTCCCTGCCCGCCTCTCACCCGAGCATCACTGCCCCTCCCCCCACCTTTTACAGAGCCTTGAGACATGGTCTTGTTCAGGTGCCTCATTAATCCCCACATTCTGTTAAGGAATGTAACATTGCATTGTAAAGTCTCAAGAGTCGCCCTAGGCCACCTAGCTAGGGTCCCAGCTGTGGGACAATGGGTGGAATACGTGTGTAGGACAGAGGAGGGCAGGTCACAGAGACGGACATTGGAGTGGCACCCAGAGGTCAACGACGAAGGGGAAGAGAAGACTTAAAACGGGGGGGTGGTGGTGGTGGTGAGACTGTAATATTGGACTCAGCACTGTTGACTACGCACGGTGGGAATGAAGTTCAACATATGTACATACAGCTCAGGTGTCGACTTCACCGCAACTACGCAGGGGGGTGGGGGTCGAGCATCAACATCAATGACGGTGGTGACCTCTTGACCCTGAACTTGTGATGAGCGAGTAACCCTGGCCTCGCCGCCAGCTTCCCGTGGGCCTCCGCGCACCTCTCACCCCGCGCGGCGCCGCTTTCCCCCGCAGTGGTGCCGTCGATCGTGCGCGCGCTCACGTTCGACGAGAGGCGCGGGGCCTGCAGCAAGGGCTCGCACGTGCGCGATTCTGCCTGCTACGTGTGCTGGGCCTTCGCCCGGGCCTACGACCCCCGCGAGCTGGCGCCGTTCGTCGAACGCATCGCCAGGTGGGCCGCCGCCCCCCCCCCCCCCCTCCCCCCCCCCCGGCATCGCCGCATTGGCATCGGTTTTCTCTGCCCGAGTATCGCCGACCCCCGATCGCCCTTGCCGCCGGGCGAACGAGATCGCAAATCCCCGGGCGGGGTCCGCAGTTTGGTTTTCAATTCGGAGGCGGTGCTGCCTCCACCGCCGCGTCGGCTCTTGCGGTCGGGCTCGGAACCGAGCGAAATCAGAATATTTATTGACACTTGAGGAATCCGATGAGCTGCGAAGCTCTTTTTCAGGCGGAGCAGAGGGTCGCGTATCGTGCCGAACGACACGCGGTGCGACCCGCAAGCGCGTCGGAGAGAATAACGAGGCATTGCCTTGAATTTAAGTTATATGGGAAATCGATAGGATGCATCAATATGTGTTTGTCTGTGGGAGGAAATTGTACACGTAATATATATTTTGTTGAATTAATGCATTTAGGATGCAGTGAACACGATTAAAGGAGAAGTTAGATACATGTTAGCGTTGTGCCAAAGCCCTGATGTGTGAAATGATTTAAGGCCATTGTGAATTGTTTCATCTATTTTTTAAAATATCGTCGCACATTATAATCTCTTAAAATGTTTAGATATGACTGAGGCACCCGGAACTTTGGACAAAAATCACGCACGGTACTTTTGAGTCTGTATTTGTCTCCATTCAGTCATGTGACGTGTATTCCAGATCTGCCGATGAAAAGGCCTTTATTAATGCAATCACCGGCCTATGGAATTACAATATCAAACGATTAACTTAAACACGTACATATATCTGCACCAGATTAAACTCGCCCGTCCGGCTCTTTGGCGTTCAATTCACAGGAGCCTCTCCATGAAAACTAAAGAGCAAAACATTTACTATCGGGGCGATCACTTTTTGTTTTTTTAAACGTGCAAATGGAGTGTGTGAAATAACATTTTCCCACACGTTGCGAACCAATCAAAATACCCTGGCATTTCGGCTCGCAAAATCCTCGGAAGTATGGATAGCCTGGGGACAAGCGGCACGAGTTGAGTGTGGCTATGTATGACCGTAGCTGTCCATATATAATGTTGTCACAGGTTCCAGAAAAAAATATAAAATCGCGGAGATTTGCCCTGTCCATCATCGCCTCCCCCACCGCACTCCCACGCTCCCTCCTCTCTCTCTCTCTCCATTCGGACGACGGGGCGCTCTCCGCCACGTAGTGCCTGAAGAAGCGAGGAGAGTCCTATTGCGTTTCACGCTGTTTGTCCAGCTCTTCCCTCTGTGTGGGATAGAGTGTTGCGCTTTCGCACGTGTGGGTTTTTCTCCGGTCGATAACACCTTCATATGTAGAGGACCGCAGAGCTATAAGGGGGGGGGGGGTGGGAATTTGTGTGGCGGTTCACCGCCTGACTGCTGCTGCCTTCCTCCTCGTGTCTGTGGTTCCTCCTCCTCGCACCTCTGAGTCGTCCTCTCTCGCTCTCTCTCTCTTTGAGAGCGAGGTGCCAACACCACGTAGCGGCGGCTGCGGTGCGTTACAAGTTGGAATTGTTATAATTAATTACGGCCGTGGTTACTTTGCGACAGCTCCGTTGTGCGCGGCCAATGTGAATTTCCAGTCTCGTTCAGCACTAACGGCCCCCCCCCCCCCCCCATTACCCCCTACCCCCCCGCGTGCGTTCCCTCCAGCGCGCTCGTGATCACCGCCGTCTACGACCGCGAGGTGAACTGCAGGCGCGCCGCCTCCGTGAGTGTTTCCCGCCCGCGTGGCTCGCGACGGCGATTGTGGTGGTGGTGGTGGTGGTGGCGGCGGCGGCGGCGGCGCCGGACACGCGCACCAAACGCAACTTTATTTCTACTGCGAGTTCAGCAAAGCACAACAAAAAAATCCAATAAAATAAAAAAAAATACAATTGCAAAGGCGATCGTCATCGGCCTTGGTCAATCCACTGTTGAATGAAGGCCCCCCCTCCATGCCACGGTCCAACCAGCACGCTCATACGTGTCGGTTTAATCGCTCAGTCTCTTCGGTTGACGTCCCGTCGGACGCGGCCTGTCCCTCGGCCGCCGCTCCGTCGTCGTTCTTGGACCGTCAGCCATCGTCCTTCCTCGCCGTAACGTGGCCCGGCCTAGGCCCGGCTCGCTCACTGACGCTTTGGATCACGTCTTTCAACGCGCGTACGCGCAGTTTTCCTGCCATGCATCTGTCCGTGTCTTTTTTTCCCAACTCACAGCCCAAGCCGGCGAATCTGCACACCGTCGTTTTGGCCGAACGCGCGGTGATTCTGGGGAACGCGTCGCTGGAGGGGGGGGCTCTCGTTGCCGGTTCACGGCTGCGCAGAGTTCCCACCATTGTCCCGCGGGAGTAATGCCTCTGTGGTGATTGTCGTTTTCAGGCCGCCTTCCAGGAGAATGTGGGGCGACAGGTAAGGGCTCCGCTCGAGCGCTCTCCCCGCTTTTGCTGGGGAGGGATTTGGCACGCGGCGCGATGTTTGGCCCGCGGAGTCCGCAGCGGCGATTAAAGGGAAATGCGGCCGACCGAAAAAAATGAATATGTACAAAACACCGCGTGCATTGTTTCTCTACGCATCCATTGTCTCTCGAGCCGGGCTGCTAGCCCGCGTGAGCGTGAAAGTCTCGCTCGAGAGAGAAAGAACTCTTCCACCGGCATTCAGAGGTTTGTTTTTCTAGTGAAGGCGCCGCGGCGACGTCACCGGCGGAGTAAGAGGGGTCGGCGTTGGACGTGGCGTGCCGGGGAGACTGCGTCAGTGCGGGTGACGTCGTTGGTGCGCCGAGCACGCGCGGTTATAAGCGCGCGTTGCGATCGAGGCACGTCAAATGCTCGTTAAACAGATACTGATAAATACTTAGCCATTTTATTATTATTTTTATTTTCAACGGGGCATTTCTTGCATTTAAAATTCCAAAGTGTAAAGCGTGTTTTTCTTATATGATGTTTAAAGTAAAAAAAAAGAACAGTAAAATACTTTTTAATGTGAGCACGAACACTTTGGGTATGTTACCCACGGTGGATGGTGGTGCGAGTTGAATGAATGAATGCATTTTAATGAATGATTTGACGGCAAATCAAACCATGTGCCTCCTCATGTCGCTCAGGGCACCTTCCCGCACGGAATTGACATTGTCACGGCAGCCGACTACTTTACTCTCGGGAATCGGGGAAACAGCTTCCTGAAAATCAGGTGACAGTTCGAGTCTGCAGCTCCTTGACACGCAGTCCTGGCCGTGCCGTGGCTGCCGCGCTCACAGGCGAGCGGTCTCCCGCTTGCTAGCTCACTCGCTCGCTCGCTCGCCCGCCCCTGCGGTTTATGTTCGCAGCCGGCGCCACCGTGATTTACGCTTTGCATGTTCGGATGTGGGCCGAGTACGTGCTCTCGCGCCTACGCGTCTGTCTTTGTTTTGTGGCACAGATAAAGTGACATAAATGCCCGCCGGTAGTTAATTGTTCCGTGCGTTTGTTGATGCAATGAAGAATGTATTTGAAAAATGTCCCATGCAGTGGCCAGTGTTCTGGATGCACAGGTACCGCCCTGTTGATTACAAAGGACAGGCTTGGCCCAGTGCTATTAATTTGTTTACATTGAATATCGTATGAATCTGCTCAGGCATTCTGCATGGCTTGACTCTCATTCGACTTGAGTTCAGTTTTTATTTCGTGTAACCACAGGTGAGAGCACCAGAGACTAGAGCGACCTGGGGCATCAGTCTGCCAGTGGGGGGGGCATGATTAATGTATAGAATCCAAACGGAGTAAATTTGTGGGTACTTGTTCAAATTTGGACTGTGGTGCCGCCACACAATGGCCTGCTCATGTGAACGACGTCACGTTCCTCTTCATGTTCCTCTCCATGTTCCTCTCCACGTTCCTCTCCACGTTCCCCTCCACGTTCCTCTCCACGTTCCTCTCCACGTTCCTCTCCATGTTCCCCTCCACGTTCCTCTCCACGTTCCTCTCCACGTTCCTCTCCACGTTCCCCTCCACGTTCCTCTCCACGTTCCTCTCCACGTTCCTCTCCACGTTCCTCTCCACGTTCCTCTCCACGTTCCCCTCCACGTTCCCCTCCACGTTCCTCTCCACGTTCCTCTCCACGTTCCTCTCCACGTTCCTCTCCATGTTCCTCTCCATGTTCCCCTTCACGTTCCCCTTCACGTTCCCCTTCACGTTCCCCTCCACGTTCCTCTCCACGTTCCTCTCCACGTTCCCCTCCACGTTCCTCTCCACGTTCCCCTCCACGTTCCCCTCCACGTTCCCCTCCACGTTCTTCTCCATGTTCCTCTCCATGTTCCCCTCCACGTTCCCCTCCACGTTCCCCTCCACGTTCCCCTCCACGTTACCCTCCACGTTACCCTCCACGTTCCCCTCCACGTTCCCCTCCCATGTTCCCCTCTATGTCCGCCTGTCGCCCCCGCAGCGAGTACATCGCCGGCTTCCCAGAATACACCTGTCCGCTCATCGACCACCTGGTAGAGCTCAAGATCAACCACTGGGACAGGTAGAGCGCCCCTTGCGCGAGCGACGGCGTCGAAGCCGCCACGCGCAGCCGTCGTGCAGTCGCACGCCGTTCAAGACGCTCGTAGTCTCCCCTATAGCAACTCGAATCGTGCCGTTTGTTGCTGACCGCTCGTCTTTTTGGTCCCGTGCCCAGAAACTGTTTAAAAACGACAAGCGATAATTGCATTTTAATAATTGCACCCGGTTGTTTTGCTATTACCAATTAATTGGTTCCTTTTTTTCACGATGATTTTCACTGGCGTGCATGATTCCTTGATTGCCGCGTATAATCACGTGGTGGCGTCGCTCATTAGCAACGCATCCCTTAAGGACGACGGCCCCAACAATCTCGTTACGACGTTGGGGCACTGGAGCTTGTCACATTTGTGCGACTCGTTGGAGTGAAGCCAAAACAGCAGTTGCACTTATTACACACATCTTATTACGAGGGCGTCGTGAGTCGGCCTAACATTGGAAAGAAAATTAATCAATTTGTTGTAGGTGTAGTTTACAGCTCTGGCTGGAAGGTATGAATCACATATCACAGGCATACCGCTCATAAGGGCCGTGAGCTCATTCCATTGTATTGACGTAGAGATCACATTACATTATTAACAGGCCTTCCGTATAACAAACGCTCATCGCGTACACTGGACTGGATTAAGTAAACAAAGATCATCTGTGGCCTTGGTCAATCCGCTGCTGGATGAAGACCTCCCTATGCCTTATCGATCATGGGGATTTGTTTGACTGTACTTCACCACGCTGGCCCGTGCGAGTTGGTGAAAGTGGTGGCGGGGCTGATGGGGAGCGGTAGTGCAGCGGTTAGCGCGCTGCGCTACGAACCTAGCCACCCGAGTTCGATTCCCGCACATGGCCAACGCCAGTGGCGATTATCTGAGCTGGTCCTGGGCCTCCCCTAGGTCGACTCAGCCTAAAACGAGTACCTGGTGCGGTGTGTAAACATCGCCACTGGGGAGACAAAGGCGGTCGGGCGTGGTGCTGGTTCCCCACCTCCTCGTGTGCCGTGCCGGCCTTGATAGGTGCTCGCTAACAGCACTTTCCACAACAGTCTGTTCAGACTATTCGGTGGGGGGGGGGGGGGGTCTGGACCGACCGGTTCAGACGTCGCTTGCCAAGGGTGTTAGCCAGGGCCGAGAATTAAACCCAGCAAGCTCCTAGTGGAGTGCGCTAACCACCGCTCCACCGCTCCACCCCCCCACACTGCGATTAGCACAGTTGGTTACCTACGGTGCGAAAGAAGTTCAAAATACATATGCATACTTATCATCAGCCGTGGTCAATCCACTGCTGGGTGAAGGCCTGTCTATTTCGTTGCCATCTCTCGTGATCTCCACACAAAGAGCGCTTGAAACACGCTGGTGGCATGTCGGCGCTGCATGTTACCTGATGTTTCTGTCATGTATGGACGTATATATGTACTGTATGTTGAACTTCTTTCGTACCTTACGTAGGTAACCGTGCTAATCGGAGGTGCGGGGAAGGACAACAAACTAAACCAAGAAAGTCGTTCTAAAGAAATGAGTTTGTCAATCTAGATGATTTAAAAGTGCAGTGGCTTCCTAATATCGGAAGGAAGAGCATTCCAGATGGCCGCAGCAGCGGCAACATGTCTTGGAACGATGCGTGCCGTGCCTCTTGTGTGTGACGTGTTGGTGGCGTGTCGCCGCCGCCGCCGCTGCTGCGTGTTAGCGGGCGCTCGTGTTGCACGTGGACGATGCCGTGCCCCTTGTGTGCACTTCGCAGCGCGGTGTGCGAGCTGGCGGCGAGGACCCTGCACAACCTCACCGCCAAGGCCCCCGACTACATGGTCAACACCGGTGAGTGCCTTTGTGAGAGAGGGCAAGAGAGCGAGGGTTTTTTTCTAGGTGCTCCGGTTTCCTCCCACGTATGAACACTTATTAATTGGCTAATAACACCATAATATGTCGAGGACTGCAGAGCTTGGGCAGTTGGTGGTGCCGGATCACCGCATTGCTGCCTTTCCGCCTCTCCAGTTCTTGGCGCCTCTCTTTGAGAGTGAGCGATTACTCTGAGTGTTACGACTTGAAATTATTTTTTTCTTACGACGGTGATGTCACCCGATGCCATGTGACATCGCTTTCGGTGAAATAATAAAGTGATGTCAAAGTTAGTTGGCGTAATTTCCGGTTTTCTGATCAACCTGAAACAAAATACATTTTCGGATCGCAGATTATAGTAGTGTCGTAACGAGGCCCTAATTTGAGACTCGTCCAAAATTTGTGGCAACACATTCCAAATACATCCACTGATGTGGTCACATTTCTATCTCCGCCCTCCGATAAGTAGCAGAGTGTTCAACTGGGACACGGGGCCGCAGCGGCCGCGATGCGTTGCAGTTCAATATCACCGCCAAACTACGAGCGATACGGGAGAGATCACACCGACAATCCGGCTTCGTTGAGAGGTCACGGCATCGCAGTTTGGCGGTGGTCTGTTTTGACTTGTCGGCGGTGGTGGTGACCTGTGAAAATTAGTGTGTGGTAGTGCCTTCACTCATTGTGGCGCACTCAAATTACCCGTCAAACTGCTTTGGAATTGAGCCAGCAAACGATGGTGGGTGGGTGGGTGGGTGAAAGAGGGGGGTGGTGAGGGTTTTGTGAGGTTCTAAGTGATTTATGATGGTCTGTTTTTGTAAGATTCTAAGCGCACCTTGACGGTCAAGTCTCCTCTTGTCACTTTAAAGGTCAAACATCTCCCCCGTGACCTTCGTTGTGGTCAACGTTTGTAGAAAATGCCCTTTTTGTTGCCTCGGGGTGCAATTTAAAAATGCTTCAATTGGTGGAGGGGTTGCTTAGGTTTTTTATCTTAATGATTGTTTTCAAGTTTGACTACAGATTTTTCCGCGACTCCACCCAACACTTTACAGATACAGTCTATTTTGTTTATCGTTTGGTGCAATTAATTACTTATAACTTTCAAACACGCAGAAATTGGATACTTCATAGCAGTGACCCCCCCACCATCCCTTTTGCGGAGACACTTGGGCAACGTTGTGTTCGAGGTTTGGTCGTTACGGGAATGTGCGCGCTCGTATGAGGAAAGGAATGCCACTTTTTTCGTGCCCGAGCCTTTGTTAAAGAGCACCATATAAATAGCAGCATGCTGTGTGGAGCTGCTCTGTAATCTTAGGTCACCTGGTCGCGGCGTTTTGTACCGACAGATGGACGGCGCTCACTGCGATGTCATAGCGGAGGTGACTGTGTTCCCGAGGGAGCGTTGCTTTGCCACGCCAGGGACTCTACTGTCCTTGGGCGTGGTCTGAGGCTGTTGTTGTTGTCTTGGTGTGGTCTGGGACTGTTGTTGTTGTCTTGTTGTGGTCTGGGACTGTTGTTGTTTTGGTGTGGTCTGGGACTGTTGTTGTTGTCTTGGTGTGGTCTGGTTGGGATTGTTGTTGTTGCCTTGGTGTGGTTTGGGACTGTTGTTGTTGTCTTGGTGTGGTCTGGGACTGTTGTTGTTGTTGTCTTGGTGTGGTCTGTGGCTGTTGTTGTTTTGGTGTGGTCTGGGACTGTTGTTATCTTGTTGTGGTCCCAGACTGTTGTTGTTGTCTTGGTGTGGTCTTGGACTGTTGTTGTTGTTGTTGTTTTGCTGCCTTGCCCCAAGCTTGCATTGGATGTTAAGTGATGGGCAGAAATGTATGTACCTGTGCAATTTGTACTTCTATACTGTTTAAATATTTATTTATAGAAACTTGTTTACCTTTTATCTCCCTTGCTGTTGCATTGTTTGTTGATGTAACTTACTTACCACCCCCAGGCCCCCCCTACTGGACACCTGTGAAAAGAGCTTCATAGCTCATTGGATTCCTCCTCCAGTCTAAATCAAGATTCTGATTCTGATTACATCAACGTCGTTTACATGCTTCCTGATTTCAAAATATGGGTCAGAATTAGGATGATTATTTCAGTTGCTCATTTTGGAATGGTTGTTTTTTGTCCTGATTTTTATTGGTTTTGCTTTTGTCATTTTGGTGACCAAGATCACTCTCGTAAATGGTCTCTTGTGCTCTCACCTGTGGTTACACGAAATAAAATCTAAACGCAAGTCGAATGGGAGTCAAGCCATGCAGAATGCCTGAGCAGATTCATACGAGCGTCACTACAAATAAATTAATAGCACCCAGCCAAGCCTGTCCTTTGTAATAAACAGGGCGGCACCGGCGTGTTCAGAACACTGCATGGGAATTTTTCAAATGCACTCTTCATTGCATCAGCAGATGCGCGGAATAATTAACTACCGGCGGGCATTTATCTCAATGTAGCCATGGCACGGGACAAAGACAGACGCGCAGGCGCGAGGGCACGTACTCGACCCACATCCGAAAAGGAAAGCCGTAAATCACGGTAGCGCCGACTGTGAACATAAACCGCAGGGGCGAGTGGGAGAGCGGGAGAGTGCTCGCCTGTGAGTGTGACAGCCGCGGCGTGGCCAGGACTCCTTGCCAAGAGCTGCAGACTTGAACCGTCACCTGATTCTCACCTGAAATCTCACCTTTTTAAACCAAATAAGCTTTAAACTTCACAAGTTAAAGACGTACTCATTAGTCACTCAGCCAATCGGTCACCTAACCGTTGGTGGGACACTACGCTCGTTCTGACTTAATTGTAATTGATTATTATTGTTATTGCGCATGTTTACCCAGGAAAGCCTCCCGAGAATAATTTTCCAGGAGGCTCTTCCTGCTGAGTGTTCGCCGTGTGGGGACGGTGTTGCCGCGCGCGATCCGAGTGAAATCATCGGCAGCATTGGGACGTTTTAGGAAACACCGTTTACATTCCACGGTTGTCCTTTGCTTCATGAAACTTTGAATTGTAATCTCTTATTAATAGCAAGCTTAGGCCCCATTCTTTCTTCTATATGGCTGATATAGTTGCAGAGCAACAACAACAATTTCACATTCAGGTGCTCAAGCCAGATAACCGCGTCGGGAGCAGCGGAGTAGCGTGTCGCTGTGATGTCTCTTTTGTGTTTGTGGGTCGGGCATTACCGTCGGCCCCATTTACCGGCATGAACGTGTGTCCACTGTACACCAACACAGCACTTTGTGTGAAATTGAAAGGCGGTTCTGATGTCCTCGTTGCCACTCTTATCTCTTTCCTTACGTGGGCCCCGCCAGTGCTGCCCAAGCTCTTGCCTCTGGCCACGGGAAGAGACCTCAACACGCGCTACGGAAGCATCCTGGCGTGTGCCGAGGTCACGCACGCTCTGTCGGAGCTGGCCTCCCGCGACGGCAGGTGAGGCCACCGGCAGGTGAGGCCACCGGCCCACCGCCAGCGGGGACATGCTCCTCTACGGAGACCCGCGCGCGGTTTCCCGTTTCCATTCTCGTGCGTACCTTGCGGCGCTTTGCCTCGCAGTACCTTGCGCCTCACCGGTTTGCGATGACGGTGGGAGAGGTTTGGGGGGGGGCAGCAGCGGTGGTAAAGGTCGCAGTAAAATCAACGCACAAGCAGACGCGACGAGATGCGGCTGTGCAACCCTTCCAAGTGTTCAATCCCATCTTGTGTCAGGGCACACAGTAACCCTTGCCGAAGACAATTGGACGTAACATTGCAAGTCTTCGAAGGGCATTATTATTGTTGTTCCCGACCGGAGTAATTGCGCGCTTGCCCGTGCTAATCGGTGAAATTTGCAGCCCCTAGTCGTCCACCTACACGTAAATCACACTTGCGAGCCACTCCGCGGGATCGCCCAGCAAAACGAGAAGGGAGGGCATGCGGGCAGGCGAAGAAGTGAAAAATCCAAACTCAAGATATCGTTGCGAAACTCACACCGCGCACTCTTGTGTGCGTGCGGGCTGCCCCCCCTCCGCCCCCCCCCGCCTCTCGTGCTGTTCAGAGGCGACGTGTGGTAGGTGTGGCGGGCTCTGTGGTTCTCAGGGCCCCGAGGCGGTGAGTCTGGGCCGCTAATCCCACCCGTATCGGGTTTTGCGTAATGCTTACCGAGACGCGCGCCTGAGCAGGCCTGCGTGAGCAGCGCCTCGTCGGGGAATTGGGGGGGATCGTCGATCGGGACGACGTGCCCATCCCCCCACCAAGCCCCCCTTCCCGTGTGGATTTTATTTGGGTGTGTGTTTGTGTCACCCGTTTCCCCGGGGGTGATATATCTAACCTTTCGGGCTTTGCGTTTACCACGGTGAGTGATGTGCAACAAGCTCTTTAGGAGGTGGGAGGGGTTGTGTGGGCAGGGCGGCGGTGCGTGAAATTCAAGTGCGAACGAATGAATGAAATTAACCGCGAATGTTCGCATTCCGCGAGACAAAGTGCCTCGCCGTATCCCTCGACTATTTTTGGTGCGGTGTTTATGCCGTAGCTCAGTCGACGGTGCCTCGGGGCATGAAATATATCTCACGGCAGCGGAAGAAGAAGTTATATCTCTGAGCGCGCTTTTTGGCAAACTTTGAAGGTGTGCTGTTGGGAGCGACGCTTCACTTCATGAACGAGTATTTAGTTCTGAAAAAAAACAAGAAGAGGTTTTACCTTATTTAGCAGGTGCTGTTCACTTCTCAGGCAGGGTCGACTCACCCCCATTATAATTAGACTTGTAACGCACCATACAGTATTCGCTCACTCTCGGAGGAGAGTGCGACGGGGGACCGCAGACAAGCAGGGAGGTAGCCACGCGGTGAGCCGACGCCAACAATTGCCCGCGCTCTAAAGTCCTCTGTGCATTAAGATGTTTTCAGCCAATTACTGAGTGTTCATGCATCGCTTTGGGGCCGGTGAGATTGGCTTGCACGACTTAGTGGGGAGCTCTCAAGTGAACGAGCTGCGAAGTGAATGATGCCAACCAGAGCAATGTGGAATTTCCCGACTGCAGGCTGCAGAACGCCCGTGCAGGTGAGCCCTGAGTGTGAGAGGCCAAGGCCGAGCAAGGAGGGGTCCCATCCTGACACAGCAGGCAAAGGGCATAAGGAAGCACCAGGCTTGAATTGTCTTGCCTAGAAAATATCTATCTGGAGGGTGTATTGATCGCTAAATACAACCCGTACATCCCATGTTAAAGCAAAACTTTACGTCGACGTTTTAAAGTAATGATGAATAGCTGCCATTTTATTCAGGAGGTTCCCAATACGGGTTAATAAACTTTTTGTTTCAGAAGCATCCTACATTGGCATGTTTGGCCAATCCATTAAAATAGTTGTGTTTCGTGTCGGAGGAAACCAGAATGCCCGGAGAAAACCCACACACGCAAGGAAATAACACTCGTAGCGCCGCACAGATGGATTCAAGCAACAATTGTTGTACTACCTTAATCCTAGGGGGTGGTTAGGCTGCTCTGAGTTTGTGAGATGTCATCTCGTGGGGCTGAAGATTGTGGCTTTGCGGTGGAACAGAGTTGGAGGTTTGCGATTTCAAATGCTGTTTGGGGGGGTTTACTCTGCCCATCATACGTCGAGGTTCATTAAAATGGGTACCACTTTGTGGAAAGTAAACAGTTAATTTTGATTTAAAGCTTTCGTGACTGCAGTAATTCATATTCTTAGCTCTTTCGGTAAAGTCACGTTGAAGGGAAACAATAAAATAATAAAATATATATAAAACAATAAAAATTCTCACGACGTTTCGACCATAACACAAACTGTCGTCATCAGGTGTGTCGGTTTGCATTAATTTATTTATTTTAAACGGTGTATTTCTAAAAAACGTCAGCGCCACGCGCAGCGATTTGGCAGTTTATTTAGAAGGACTAGTTCATCTATGTTCTGAAAAGAGGAGGGGGGAGACGAAAAATTAATGTATGCTGTCTGAAAGCCACTGTAAGCGTGAACAATCAATTAAGACCTGAAATGGTTTATCAAATCTTTCATTCAACGTGACTTTACCGAAAGAGCTAAGAATATAACATAGATGAACTAGTCCTTCTAAATAAACTGCCAAATCGCTGCGCGTGGCGGTGACGTTTTTTTATAAATGAATACACCGTGCAAAAAATAAATAAATTAATGCAAACCGACACACCTGATGACGACCGTTTGTGTTATGGTCGAAACATCGTGAGAATTTTTATTGTTTTATATATATTATTATTTTATTGTTTCCCTTCAACGTGACTTTACCGAAAGAGCTAAGAATATAAACAGTTAATGTCCTACGGATCGACTCGCCTTCGCCATTGGAACGTGGAACTTGCACCGCTGGCTATGGGGAGATGAGCACCACCGCCTCGGTGCTCATCGTTGATTGGGCGGTCGCGTTTTTGCTAAAGCCTGCGCCGCCGTTTGGTTTCGTGTGAACAGGCGTGCGGAGGAGCTGCTCGGTGACGAGATGGTGACCGGGCTCAAACTCATCCACGCGAAGGTCGGTGGTGTTCAGCTGATGCGGACGTGTGACCCCTTGCCCCTTTGCCGGACATCTTTGGGAGAAAGAAAAGCGCTTTACAGCTCTTCGGATTCCTCCTCCAGTGCAAATAACTGAGATGAGCGCAGAGCTTTGGCAGTTGTTGGCGTCGGCTCACCGCCTGGCTGCCTTTGCGCAGGACCCTCCTGAAAAAGAGTCTTGAGACTCGGCGAGGCTTTTTTGGTAAGCCTGGATGACAATATGATTTGAATTTTTCTGACATAGAAACGAATCGTGAACCATAATATTGGTTTGTGAAAGCCTGCGTGTTAAATTGAAGCACGGTAAGAATACTAATACATAATTTACACGCCTTGCTAATGCGATATCGCACGGGTGATGGAATATGAAACGTATGGTAATGATGCCCCTTTGTTTATTTTGCAGCTGAATGATGCAAAGTATTACAGGTGAGACGATGTGAAGTGGTGATGGCCATGGACTCTCTCTCTCTCTCTCTCCCTCCCTTTGGCGTCGTTTAAACTCAATTCGCGATCCGTGGTGTTCCCAAGATTACGTGCAGATCTCGCAGCACAGAACACAGGAAGTCCAGCCTGCGTGCCATCACGGCGCTGTATATTTACGTGACTCATTGTGTTCCTGAATACACAAAGAAGGGGAGTCGCGTTTGTGATGCATTACGTTAACCTTACCCTGACAGTGTTTGCTAATTCAAGATAAAATTCAGTACCTTTTAAAGTTCAACACGCCACTTTCGGTTAAAGGTGTAATTTTGACCACTCTGGTGTAGAAGTTCTTTAAGCCCGTCGTGCATCAATACGCAACCCATGGCCGTGGCCGCACGACAATGTCATTACAGTGCCGTAATGGCACGCCTGAGCGTAGCTCCATCAGCTTAGTTGTCCCTCTAACCAGTCTGGAAACTCACGTCACACACACGAGGGCGCATGGCCAAGGAGAGTGTCTCCTAAGTTTAACTGTAAACTACTTTTATTTGACCAGGTAAGGTATGGAGCTCTTTTCGGACGTGACCTGGCCATCACAAATGACAGCTCAACGAAGCGGCTTATCGCGTCGAAATTTATAGCAGCCAAATACTGTTAAACGCACGTTGATTCTAAAAGTGGAGGGGAAAACCAGAGGCCCCGGAGAAATATCTACAGGACCACGGGGAGAACATCCAAACTCCAAATATACAGGAGGCGTCAGGGTCGGGATCGAACCCACGACGTCTTGTATACCGGGCGAGGTAGTTGACATCTCGCCAACATGGGAGTTGAGGCAGCCCAAAACAACATGGCAAAGCAACCCTGAGGCTCGGTCAACATCAATGCTGGTGCACTGTAATGGTTTGCAACGCACTGGACTTCCAATCCGGTTCGACGATTCCGGCACGGCGGTTGACATGGTGCAGATTTCTTAAACGGCGCCGCCTCCGTCTGCCCGCCATCTAAATGAGCTTCACCGCGGTTAGTTGACCGGTGGGTTGCATGTGTGGTGGGATCGCAGCGTGGGTAATCCCAACTCTGTCCTAAACGTCTGACGAGCGTGGTGGTGGTGGTGGCGGGGTACTTCCACCTCTTGCGCATCCTCTTCCACACCTCTTCCGAGATGCCTGGCCGGCCGTGGTACGAGGGGCTCTGTAGAGCCCCCTCCAGAGGAGGCCTTCCCGTCAGCAGCGGCGCGAGCGAGCAATTGTCAGGCTGCGCCTTTACCATTTACCTTGACTTGCCTTCGACAAAAAAATAGTTTTATTGGCCGAGCATTGTGGAGCCGTTGTTGAACTTGTGACAATTGCCACGGAGCCGCGGGGTGCTTTCCCATGATGTGCCCACATCGCTAAAGATCGCGCTCAACATGGCCACCCTCTCTGGGCTCACAAAGGAGGCCCTTTGTCTCTATTACAGCTCCCTGCAGGGCAAAGCCACTTGGAAAATGCAATCGTCATAGAAATACATAGCAATGGGAGAGAGAAAAAAATTATAATTACGGCAAACCCCCCAGACCCTAATTACAAGCAGGGTGGAAGCGCTGAGTCTTCGTCGGCTGCCGCGTTGAAGTGCTTGACCGTGATGCTTCAAAAGCAGGTGCTCGCGTCTGGGCTTGCCATCGGCTTGTCGTCTCTCCGTGTCTCTGAAACGCTTTACAACTGGGGGTTGAGAGTGTTGTCACGCATGAGCCCTGTTCGTCTGTCCCGGCTGCGTGGGGAAGGAGCCACGTTGTCTGCTCGGTTTTTTTCCTACCTTGATAAAAAAAAAAGAATAAGTTTCATCCCTGATCCAGCCTTTCCAGAAAGATACGGGCCCCAGTAGGCAAGGACGATCTGGGTGTTGGTGTCAAGTTTTGGGCAACTCGATTTTGACTCCATTTTCATCTTCATGTGTTGGCAATATCAGTGTAACATCAAACATTTTAGATACTGGGATGCCTTTCGTCAACAGTGTCTCAGGAAATCTGAGTTTGGATGAATGTTCAAGAGCAGCTGTTATTTTAGAAGTCTTTAAAATGTCCAAGGTTTAACTAAAAAAATTACAGTATTTATTTTTTCTGACGAGCATTCCATTTAATGTGTTTTTGTAAAACTTACACTGACAATTCTGATGGTCAGTTGTGTAAATGTTTAGATTAAGACAGCAGGATTGAAAGTTTAACAGAACTTCACCAACTAACTCACCTCTTTGCTTTCTTCGCATAAAGGTTTCAATCGCCTGCAATAAGTCGCGACCTCGGAGTAATCTCATTTATTTATTTTATTTATGTTTTAAAAAAGTGAACAGATGCTTTTGACATTTGTCGTGAGATTTGTGGCATTCCTCCGAGCTTACGCGTCGTTGTGCCTAAAGGAATGCCGCGCCGGCTACTCCACCACCGCAGGTGGCGGTGCAGTGGTGAGTTGCACGGCGCCCGTGCCACCAGGGGCTTGGTGTGCACCCAAAGTGATCTCTGCTCGAGCTCCCGTCGATTACAGCGATCTGCTTGCCACGCATGCGCGCGTACACGCACTCGCTCGTACGCGCGCCGCAGCTGGCTGCTGCTGCTGCTGCTGTATTCGCGGTTAAGGGAACGTATCGATCGTTTGGGACGGTGGATTGGCCGGGCGGTTTTCACGCGTTGAGCTACGAACTCCCCTTGCCTGGGTTCGATTCCTGTTCACGGCTGACGGCGGTTCGTTCCTCTGGTTTTAGGCCTCCACCGGAGGTCCTCGACTGCGGTCTCCTCCGCCGCTCTATGTTTCCTAACATCTTTGTCTCCATGAACTCGCCTGCTCTGCCTGCAGCTCCTCCAGCATCCAAATCCAGGGCATCCCTCTCGTTCTCATCCCTTCTGTTCTTCCTCCCACAACTTCATCACCAACCTGTTCCCTTGTAGCATCCATCCAGTCGAGTTCCCCTCTCTCTCCTTCCGATGACCCACCCCCCTCCCCCCATCGTCATCGTTCTTCTCTCGATGATGCCCCTCGAGGTGGGCTTCTTCTCTGCCCAAATCCATACCCAACGTCTCGATACGCTTCTCGCCGCCTCACTGCGCCCAGCGACCACGTCTCCGCTCCGTGCAAAGCCCACGCTGCGCAGCATCGTCACTCGTTGTTCCTGGCCGGTGTCCAGTGGCTCTTCCCTCTCTTCGCCGAACCAAGCCTTCATCTCGTTTCCGTGGCGAGTGGTCTCGCGCAGCAGCAGGTGGTCATTTCTGGACCAATTCTGAGCACCCCCCGCCCTTCGACAATACGCATTGACCGGTGTGGGGAAGTATGGACAATCGACCGACGTGTGTGGGGAGGCTTTCATCCAGCAGTGGATTGACGAAAGGGTTGTGAATTATTAGATTGTTATAATTAATTATCAACCGCATCATCGTATTTGGACGTAGTGTCGCTTATCCCTCATCGTGATTTCTAAGCACAAGCGTGAATGTGTAATCTGCAGCAGCAGCGTCATCCTCAGGTTCTAAAATTGGAGTGAAAGTAGCTCACAGAGACAAAGTCGGTCACCCTGGACACAAACACTTTGCACACAACATGGAACGAAACGTCCATTTGTGTGCCAAGGGCAGATAATTTGTTAGGCATGCATCGAATGATCAATTAAAACTGATTCTTGCACTCGGTGAAGCGTGCATCGGATCAAAAGTGAGACTTGGTCGCTGTATTGGCAGTGCATGCAACTTATGTGCAAATTATAATGATGATGTGACAATTATGCTCGTGGGGCGAACACAATGGCACAAGGCAGGCAGGCGAGTAAGCAGAAACAATACGAGAGAGATGGCGAAAACCAAACTATAATCCATTCTCTTTGTTTTTTTCGGTAAAGTCACGTATAAATAAGAAATAATAAAATAACATAATAGCGTACGACGTTTCGGTTGCAACACAAGCAGCCATCATCAGGTACAGAAGAGCTAAATTATGAGAGAGGGGAGACACAACCCTCAGATGTATATACAGACACCCAAGTAGGGGGAACTGACACAGATACAGCAGGGGACACAGAGAGAGAAGCATACCAGACAAACAGGGTTTAGCAAAATTTTTGGAAACCATGTAAAGCAACACAGACGGTCGGTCAAAACACAATTAACGCATAGTCTGGTTGATCACGCTATTTCAAAAGATTGCTAAATTGCAAGTAAAGTATGAAACTCAACGCTTCAAATCAAGTCGATAATCCATTCTTGAATCAAACCCCTATTAATGGAAATTCATCACTTTGCTGGGAGGAGTTAATAGGCAGGCACTTAGTGTTCATGGATATCTCTCTCGGAGACCGTTGGGCTTTCTTCGGAAATCACCGCTGGGCGGACATCGCTCAATCGGCGGTCTCGTGAGCGTCACGGCGACTCCTCCGCCCGCGTTGCTGTGTCACCAATGTCGCGACCAGTTCTGGGCGGGCAAACATCCATTCCTCGGCTGCAGCAACGTGGTGGCCCACCGTCGCCTCAATCGGTCGCCCCTTTAAAAGGACATGAGCAATGCCATTCCCTCCGTTTGATTCATTAAAAAAAAACATTCTGAAGACTCTTGCGATTTTTTTATATTTTGGTGGGCTTGCCGCCCTCCGGCTAGGGCCCTTCCTCCTGTTTGTGCGTGGGAGTCAGAGGGGGAAGGGGGGCCCCGGCTGCCCGCGGGTAAACCCAGGGCGGCATGAGTCGGAACATAATTGATAAAGTCTCCACAAAGGCGTAGCAGCAGCAGCAGCCCTAGGTTGGGTGCACTTCACATTTGCAAAAGGACAATCTGCACCTGGGGCATTTTCTCTCTCCCTCCCTCCCTCCCTCTCTCTCTCCCATCTGCTCACAATTGTTCGGGGGGCTCGCCCAACCAAGTGCTGGAGCCTTCCAGAGCACCGGCTTCTCCTCGAAGAGGCGCGCCACCAGGGGAGAGTGAGGGGCTGGAAGCTCCCTCCGCCTGCCCGTCCATTCGCTCGATCCCATTATAAGGCCGTCAGATATCTTCTCGAAGCTAGAGTGCGAAACCGGCGATGTTGTTATCCCCGAGCGTGGGTGCGGCGGGCGCGTCGCTTCCCTTCGCCGCCGCCCGCTGTGGTCCTTCATTGTGTGTTGTGGCCTTGCATGCGGTCGTCCACGGGCAAAGTTGCAGCCCTGCAATAGTTTCTGGCACCACCGTTGGCTCCAGAGAGAGCCCCCCACACTCTCCTCTCTCTCTCTCGAGGAAATTTGGCCAAATGTTCCACGCTGCAACAGGTGGGAGCCCCCACAGTTCACCGCACGTGGCCACCCACCAGCTAACCGGTGTAACCGTTGTTACTGCCGGATGGACACAAGAGGCCCTATGAAAGTATCCACACGTCACGCCTGCCACGCCAGAGACAATCACAGGGCCCTGGTTTTATTTTGTGGTTATCATTTTGTTAGATGGCAAAATAAATAAGCAGACTATAAAACAAATTCTGGTGTAGGCCTCAACATTGAGGAGGGTTAGTGTTTCGGCCTCGCTATGCGCTGCGTTGCACCGCTATCAGAGTAGTTAACCTCGCATTCAATAAACTTTCAGAGCCAGGGTGAACATCCGACTCCAACGTATGTAAATATTGACTTAAAGCTTTCGTGACTGCAGGAATTAATATGATTTGGGTCTTTCGATAGAGTTACGTAGATACGTTCAAAGGAAATAACAAAAAAACTCCGACGTTTCGATCGCAGTCATCTTTAGGAAAAGAAAGACCCAAAGAATTTATGAATTCCTGCAGTCACGAAATGGGCGTGGCCCAAATGTCAGCAGCATGGGCGGGACAGCTAATGTTAATGTAAGTGGTGGGCGGGGCAGCTAATGTTAATGTGAGTGGTGGGCGGCGACCGCGACGGTGGTGAGGTTTCCACCAATTAAAGGGCTGCCAGGTAAAAATTTGCATGTTAATGTGAGAGATTAGCATGTTGATGTGAGAGATTAGCGTGTTAATGTGAGAGATTAGCGTGCTAATGTGAGATATTAGCATGTTTATGTGAGAGATTAGCGTGCTAATGTGAGATATTAGCATGTTAATGTGAGAGATTAGTGTGTTAATGTGAGAGATTAGCGTGTTAATGTGAGAGATTAGCGTGCTAATGTGAGAGATTAGCGTGTTAATGTGAGAGATTAGCATGTTAATGTGAGAGGTGGCTGTGTTAGTGTGAGAAATTTAACCTGTTAATGTAAAATCAGAGAGCCGAAAAGAACAACTAACATCGGAAGGTGGTAGGATGGGAACATCACAGCCAGTTATGACTTAAACTGGTTGATAACGTCCTTCCAATGATTGCTAAGTTTGTACCCATCTTATCGGTTTAAATTGTGTCTGTATATATGGATGGCTTCATGAATTAATCTTTGTTGATAGCCAGTGGGTTTGCAAAGTACCTTCGTCTTAGGGAAATATATTTAGTGTGAGCCCACCGCATTAAAACAATGATTAGCCACGGCCGAGGTATTGGTCCAACCGTGTTTCAGAATCTGCCTTATGTTCACGAAAAACGGTCTGAGACATGTCGCTTAGTTTCCCCAATGTAACTACTGCCACAGACACAGCTTAGTTTGTAGACGCCGGGGTATTGCATGTCAGGGATCACATCCTTCACAGATGGGATCAGATCACGAATTGTATATACTGTGTTAAATCGAATCCGGATCTTGTGTTTGCTCATGATTTTGGAAATCTTTTTGGTGCCCCCTGCTATGTATGGCAAGGTGATGGTTTTGATTGGGTCCTCAGATGGTTCTTTACCAACGGTTGGGGTGATAGCTTTACGGATTGTGTAGTCTGAATATCCATTCATCTTTAGGGCTTGGTGTACGTGTTCCAGTTCACTGGCTAGGTGAGGATGGTCAGAAATACATCGAGCTCTATGGTGTAGAGTTTTGATGAGGGAATTCTTCTGGGATGGATGGTGGTGGGAGTCAGGTTTTAGGTAGACATCCGTATGGATGGCTTTCCTGTAGACAGTGTCCCATTGAGCCATCTGGTCTCTTTTCGATTAAAACATCCAAGAATGGTAACTTGCCATCCTTTTCCACCTCCATGGTGAATTTGATGGCTGTGTGTATGGAATTGATGTGTTGAGGAATTGGTTAAGAGCTGGTCGGCCATGTGGCCAAATGACGAACGTGTCATCTACGTACCTCTTCCACAAGGATGGACGTAGAATGGATGCCTGGATGGCTTCTGTCTTAAAATTTTCCATGAAAACCTTGGCTACAATTTGAGCTAAGGGAGAGCCCATTGGGGGTACCTTCAACCTGTTTGTAAGTGTTGGTGAGGCAGTGTCTCACCAGGGCCGGTACATCAGCATTCAGTCCTTGTTGGACCAAACCTTCAATGATTGCAATGGTGTCAGGCACAGGAACTTTGGTAAACAAAGACACCACATCAAAACTAACGCGAAAATCACCTGGAGATAGTGAGATGTCCTTAATTAACAATACCAAGTGAGCTAAGCACACCTGAGGTGGTCTTACCAGTGAATGGTTGTAAGGTCTCAGGCAGAAATTGGGCCAGTTTGTAGGTGCGTGAGTCAATGGTGGAGATGATAGGACGAAGGGGTGTACCTTCTTTATGGATTTTTGGTATGCCATACAATCTGGGTGGACTAGCAGCAGAGGGTTTGAAGGAAAAACCGCTTGGTTCGTTCGATTAAAGATGTCGAATCGGTGATCATACTGTTGGTTTTTGTAACGAGGCTGTTGGTGGGATCTCTTTTAATTTTTGTATAGCTACCATCATTAAATAGGTCCTGAATTTTGTTATTGTATGTGGGTTTGTCCATGATGACTGTGACATTGCCCTTGTCGGCAATGCCACAGAAATTTAAAATATTCCATTACATTAATCCTGTACAGTACACACAAGTAACATCCATATACTTAATAAAAAAAATTCCAATAATACAAATGGATAACACAAATAATACAACAAAACGTAATAAAATAAAACACTTCAATAGATGATACTTTAAATTTTGGAAGTCGCATTTACCTCAACACAAAACGTCATGGTCACTTGAACGTTGATGAGACGCCATCGCGGCGTCCGTACGGCTCGCACCTCCACGAGCGGAGGGCTGAGATGCACGTGGTACCGTCTGTGCACACGAGCGCCATGCGTGAGCGTATCGGGTACGTGTCACACGATGGGGTTGGGTGAACCCGGGCCCCCCCCCCCCCCCCCCGCAATGATGTTTCCAAATCGCGAATGGTCGAGGGGGAAAAAGGTGAGAAACTTGAACTCGTCTACAGGTATAAAATCGAGAATAATCGAATTTCGTGGGAAACAAATCCGCGAATTTAAAGGTTTTACCGCGTAACGTTTTCTGTTTTATGAATGCGTTCATGACAAAGGTGCTGACGCATCTTTTCACCTTTGGCCCTACTCTCCTGCCAACGGCGGCGGTGGTTGCGTGCATTGTGAGCGGAACGTTTGCGGTCACCGCCTGTGCGAGCGATTTGCCTGAACGTTAGCGGTGCAGCGGCTACCGCGCGCCTCTGCTCCTGGCCGATGGTTGACCGACTTCTCTGTCCCCAGGGGCCTCGGTGGGGAGCTCATGAGACCCGCAGGTAAGAGCACTCGCATTGCCACACACCGGTATACCAATCCCCGCCATTCGCCACTTAGTTGACGGTGACGTCACCACGGCGCCTGTGCAAGGCCAGGTGCACTTTGAGGCCACCACGTGAAGTGTCGAAGGTTCGCCGAAAGGAGGTCACGGGACAGACCCAGCAGGTGCCATGGGTTTGCTGACTGAGATGACCGGTAGATGCACCAGCTGTTGTACCCCCTACACACATGCACACACACACACAAAGATGCCCCATATAGCCTGCACAGACTTTTGGGACAAGTGCTGTTAGCGAGCACCAATGAAGGTCGGCACGGCACACGAGGGGGTGGGTGGCCACCACTACACCCGGCCGCCTTTGTCTCGTCCAGTGGCAATGTTTACACATTGCACGAGGTACTCATTTGAGGCAGAGTCGACCTAGGGGAGCCCCAGGACCGGTTCAGATAATCGTCACCGGTGTTGGCTGTGAGCGGAAATCGAACTCGGATTGCCGGGTTCATAGCGCAGCGTAGCGCTAACCGTGGCGAACACAAAGACAAAGATCCCCGTGTAGCCTACATGGACTGTTGAGCCAAGGGCTGTTAGTGAGCCCTGGCACAGGTGGGCACGGTGGCGCAGCAGGAGGAGGAGGGTGGTGGTGTTTCCAGCACGGCACCCCGGCCATGTGACATTCACTTGTTTTTACTCAAAAACGTATTCATTGTGTCGTAAGGGCCCTTCATACGACAAAGCGCAAAGGACACACGTCCGTTTGTGTGTCACGTTTGTTTTGAAAGGACGTCACGCATTATCTGTCATCAATTATTTCCCCTATTTCCGTGCCATTCGAATAGAGCTGCCCTCCAATTTGAAAGGGGAAAAAGGAGCGGGCCAGAAAGCCGGTTGAGTGGGCAGTTTGAAGCCAAGGCTCAACGCACGGGGGGGGGGGGTTGGTGGGTAGGGGGGGGGCTTGAGGTGCATGCAGCAGGAAGGCGAGAGGGCTTCTGTGTGGGCGCTGGTCAAGTGCACGACCGGGGGGGGTCAATTTGCAAGTCGAGCGGCTTGAGCGTCGTGCGGGGCGAGTGTGCGCAGTAAGGAGCCTTGGCGTGGTTGTTTGGCTTGATTTGTTCCCGATAATAGTTATTCACCTTTTAATATTGAATAAAATTCCATCTGCTTTCTGTGGTGAAGGGGCGAAATGAGATCTCGCCACCTCTGTTCTCTGTTCAGACACGGGTGAGACTAGGCCAAGAAGAAGGCCGTCTCTGGTGTAGGCCAATCAGTTTCGAAGACAATGTCCATAATCAGATAATGTTTACACGTTTTGCCACAAGTACGTGTGGCTAAAGTAGACTTGATGCCTTGCAATAGGTATCTATTTAGTGTTTGGACATCTTAACCCTTCCTGCTTTATTTCCACAAAGGTTAAAGCCTATTATTGTTTTCATCATTCACGGCTTCAATTCTAGATTTGAAGCTTTCGTGACTGCAAGGATCCATACTCTTTGGTTCTATTCGGTAAAGTCACGTAGGTAAAAAATAAAACAACAAAAATCACGACGTTTCGGCCACAACACAAGCGGGGACAGCCTGATCGCTTCACCTGATGAAGGCCGCTTGTTTTGTGGCCGAAACGTCGTGATTTTTGTTGTTTTATTTTTTACCTACGTGACTTTACCGAATAGAACCAAAGAGTATTCACGGCTTCCTTATGCTTGTCGCCCTATGCGCGACTTATTTTGTTGTTTTAAACATTGCGGGATCATGAGGAGATGATGACAGCTTGGGGGGAAACTTTCATTCCTCATTTAGATCGATCATCGCTGCTGCCGATGTTGTTGACGATGACAATTATTTCATTCATTTGTTCGTGTTTGCTTCTCCCGAGCCAGCCGCGGTGTTAGGTTACGCGGCTGGCGCGTGACGACTGCGGTGGTGGCGCTTGTGAGGCAAGTCCGCGGGCGGGCGTCTGTCGGCTTTGGCACGTCGTTCGAACGCGATTGATTTGCGGGCCGGGCCTTTGTGCAAGCCCTTTTTTTTTTATGAGCGACAGAAATATCTAACAGAGGTGACGTACGTTACAATTGCCCGCGCTTGTGTTGCCACGGCGATGCTACGTAACCGTGACGCGCGCTCTGCCCGCTGGACACCGCGGTAACGATGACGCCGCCGCCGGAGTTCTGGTTGTTCAGTCGCACGAGTCCCAAGTTACGCATCGACTTGAGCCGTGACAATCGCATCGACCGATAGATATAATGACAGACCGAGCGAGCCGAAAAATAAAAGGGGCAGGGTGGATGGGAACGTTCTGAAACGCTTCACCTACGAGATCGTGATGTCACCACCACCACCATGACGACGACGACGACTCGCTGCCAACGTCTTTCATCCTCTGCCAGAACTCGCAGCTGCTGCACAGGAGGACACGCAACTTCGAGATGTGACCCCACCATCTGCGCCAATTCCATGTTTTAGTAAATTTGAGAGTTCTCATTTTGAATCGGCCCAGGATTGTTGGGGGTGTACTACAGATGCCTTCGGGGATAAACTGAAGCATTTTTTGAAGCGTCATCATGATCCATGGGCAGATAGCCCATAGTAGGTGCCATCTGCTTCAACTTTCCTCTCTGTCTTGTAGTGCCAATACGCTCAAATAGTGCCACATGTTTCTGGCACCAATCTCTTATGTCGTTGTCGTCAAGCCATTCTCTGCTAGGTCTTCCTCTCTTTCCGGTACCTTCCTTCCATTTGTCCGAACAACGCACTTTTAATTTTCATGTTTTGTTGTCCATGCCACACACGTGTCCAAGCATTGGGACGGATTATCACGCGACAATGCGAAACAGACACAATGCACGGGCCTAAGCCGTTGCCGACTCCACAACGATCCTCCGTATAGCCTGTTACAGACTTTTAGGGGGAGTGCTGTTCGCGAGCACCTATGAAGGCTGGTGTGGCACACGAGGGGAGGGAGGTGGCCAGACAACGACAGAGATCTCTCTATAGCCTCGGCAGACTGTAGGAGGCAGGCGGTTTCACGAGAACAGCTGCAGCACTCCGCTTCCTTTAATGGGCACGTAGCCATAGCCGAGTGTGTGATAACAACACAATTAATGTTATTTTGTATAAGCGTCATTCTTACAAATCTCAGAGCTTGATGAAAATGTGCTTTCTTTTGCCGCTGTTCGGTGCAGTACTCTGACGGCATCGGGAAATTTCAGCTGGGGTTGCTCGATGTTAGCAAAGTGTCGAGAACTGTCTGAAAGCTGCTGCTTAACGCTGCTGGGAGACTTTGGTCCAGAAAGCCCCAAGGCTTATGGGCTAAAATATGATTGTATTTTTACGCAGTAAAACAGACCATTGTCAAGTTAATTATATTCATATATATGGATGGTCATGACTGAGTCATATTGAACTTTAATATAGCCTCAATGCAAATCGCATCTCACAACGTGAATTCCGATCATTCCTCAGGGAGCGGTGCCCGATGCCTGACTTTGGGAACCGATTAGAAAACGGAACGGTTGCGGATTTTCTGGCTGCCGTTTAAAGAACCCCTAGTGGATATAAAAGCGGAGTTACCGGAGATAACACCCACGTGTGACGGGGGTGGTGGGGGGGGATATCGTTGGGACATTGTTTGTGAAAAATGTAAGCGTTAAATCAGCAGCCACGTCGAATCCACTGCTGGATGAATGTCTCTGCCACGTAGCAATCCACCTGGTGTCCGCACACGGGCCCGATTTCATCACTCCATCTCCATCAGCTCTTGGAGGAGTGTAAATCTTGTGTCTCCCTTGGGCCACACCTGCAATGCGGCATGTAAGATATAAGCGTTGAGTATAGGTTTTTGCGTACAGGACCACGCATCTTTTTCCCCTCCCCCTCTTTTAAAGCGCTTTGAAGGCGGCTCGTAAAATTAAGCACCGGGGTTGCTGGGAGCTGTACGGGCGCCGGGCGTGCGTGCCGAGCAAGCGGCAGCTTGCCACGCCGGCCAGGGTTATACGGAGGCCCGTGCGAACGCGCGAAGGACGAGGCAAGAGGCCGCTGGCAGGTCGCTGCACACGCAGCGTGACGTCGTCGTCGTTAACCTGCAAGGATTTCGCGTTGAGGGGGACGACGGAGTGAAGAGTCGGGGTGAGGCGGGAGGGGGGGGGGTGCCTCGCCCGGCGCCCCCTGGCGGCCAACGCCGAGACGGGTGGAAGGGCCGTGCCCCCCCCCTCCCCCTCCGTGAGTGGCCAGCGGTGGGCCTCGCCTTTGGCCTCTGTGTTGAGTGCCCCCAAGCGCTCGAGGCCGCAGGGTTCGGGGGACGAGTTGTCGCGGAACTGTTGGGGGGGGGGGGGGGGGTGGGTAACGACGATGTTGCAGCGTCCTCCTTCTTTGCCATTGCACAGCTCTATCTGGATTAGTCAATGAACGCAACGTAATGATTTCTGTGGCGCTTTAGTTTCATGCTCTGTCGCTCGATTGGGAGTGTGCGTACATTTAAAAAATATGTCGTTGGTGGTTTTGCAGAAGAGTGTTCAGCGGTTGTCAGAGATCCCGCCCGGAAGAGGTTGGGAACCACTGCACCTAACCGAAGCCATAACTCCATAATCCCCGTCATCGTCCACAGCCGTTGTTCTAGCCACTGCTGGATGTAGGCCTCTCCAAATCCACGCCATATCGCAATATGCCGCGATTATAATCCACCTAGCAACCTTGCCGTCGCTGTTTGTTGCCAACCGTTTGACGTTTTTTGGTGCCTTTGGGCCTGCGTTGGGGGAATTGTGTACACGAGTTAAAACTCCTTCCCCGTCGCCTGCGTGGTCCACATGATGACGCATCGCGCTCCTCGCCCCGCCCGCATACGTGCTTCTGTGGTGGCTCGTGCGCTCGCTCATCGTCTATGCTCACGGCACCGAGCTTCAAGGAGGAGGAGGGGGTGGGGGGGTGGTATTGTTTTTCCCGGCATGCCGAACCGCCGCTTCGTGATGCCCCCAGATTGATAAATGCCCGCCGTGCTAGGCGTGGCGCAAATCACGTCCGCGTTGACAAGCTGAGAATAGAAAGGTAGGGTTTTATTATTATAGAATGTTATTTATCTCCCCTCCTCCCACTGCACTGCTGCTGCTGCTACTACTATTATTATTATATATTTTCCATAATCCGTGCGAATACCCCGCGGCGGAACATACCGGCAGTACCCGTGATGCGGAGTCGCACGTTCACCTGACAGCTCATATTGTCATCCCGTACGTGGGCGCGCACCTGCCTAATGAAGCCGTTCGTGTGATGCGTGCTGTCGCTATACAGCTCGCGATGTTATTAAACTTTTTTTTTATCCTGTTTAATGGAAGTTTATTTTCCACAATCTCTCCTGATTGATCCGAAAGTCGTCCTTATTCATCGTCGTCGTCATCGTCGGCCATGGTCAATCCACTGGTGGATGAATGCCTCCCCCGTGGGTCCGCTGTCGTCTCTCGCCATCATAGACTGTGATGAGCCCTCGATTTTTGGGTTTTGACTTGGTCATTTTTTTAATTAATATTTTTTATGCATGACCTGAACCATTTCACGAGACAAAATACATTTCACTCTCACACAAAACGGTGCATCGCACCAGTTACGAAGCGGCCTCCTTAAAGTTGACAACGCAGATGCACTTGTGAGGTCTCATTCGTTTCGAGTCTGATCCACGAGAGGGGCAACTGCCATGTCTCGCATGCCCTGCTTGTAGAGGCGTTCAATGCTCGGCAATCAAACCAAATGTTTCAACTCTCAGAGATAAAAACACCAAATTTATAGTTGCTTTGGTGCCACGGGCACAGCACTGGTACTAATTTAACAGAGGACATCTCGCTGGGCGTGAGAAGTCGACTCACGGAATTACGGGTGGCTGCGTTTCTCCCATCCCCGGATTTCGCGTGGAATCAACCCACACTCCAACGGGTGTTTAACCCCGCGAGCCACCCTCCGCCACCTCTCTGAGGCCTGGGATTCGAGGCTGCGCTTGACACCACTTTGGCACGTTGACAACGGGAGACATTGACGCATGATCACCAGAAATAAATCTTGAGTGAAATAAAACAAAAAATTCCAGCAACGCGCGAATGTTTGCGTTTTGTCCGTAACTCTATCCGTGAAACATTACACCCTCGAAGCACAAATGGTCTCTTCTTTGGGTGGTTATTAAAAGATGCAAATTTGAAATGACCATGATGTACCCAAGAGCTTCTATAGAGAGGTTTGGATTACATAACATTTAGGAATAAGGTGAGCTTGAATTAGCATTGGCACCGTGCTTACTGCAATTTCTATTAACGTGGTTTTACATTTCAGCCAAATGAGGTGGCATCATCGTGCTTGTTTGACAAGTGTGTTGTGTAAATCAACAATGTACGAGTTGTGTATCTGTGTAAAGGGTTCAGAGTTGAATGATTTAATTTATTGTATTTAATTCCAAGTGAGGCCTCTGGTCTGCTCGGGTGTGTGTGTGTTTACGGTCTGGGAGCGAATGTAACGAACAAGGAAGCCAGCGCTACCACCGCTCGGTGCTCAGCCAAAAACATCGCCACTTTAATTTTCTGAATTGAGAAACGTTGACGTGCTCCCGATTATAAGAAGCCCCGAAGAGAAAGACACATCCCACCAAACTCTAGGATGGTGTAAAATATACTTTTCGTTTTTACATGGAAGAGACAGAAGTATTAAAAAAACACATGTATTGCCCTGTTATTTGTTTTCGGATGAATGGTTTGTCATCGTGACTGTTAGGTTGGAGGTATAAATTGGCATCAGGTCAAAATCTGAAAATCTTTTAAACTTTTATCCACCGTTATTTGTCATCCCATGTCCGCCATCTGAAATATCATGTACAGTAGAACTGCTCTTATCCGTGGCGATATGGGGGATGACCATCCCACATTTTATCTTACTTATCCATAACAGAGGTTTTCTTTGGGTTTGATCGCGTAAATATGAATGTGTCGTTAAACCCGCCACCACCCGACACAGCCAATAGTAAGGTTTGTCAAGTAAACAAAAAAATCATAGTTATTAGTTACCAGTTTAGCACGCCGGTGTGTTAGAGAGTAAGCCCACGACAACATTTACAATTCGAGTAATTACAACCACCATCAGGCGACAGCCAGAGTTGATGTTTTGGTCCTGAAATATTTATCTAGCTTATCCGTGTACCATTGTGGATAATAGGAAGAATAGGGGTCCTAGGTTCCACGAGTTTTTCGCGGTTTCGTGCTGCGTCGGTCGTAGAGGAGTTCCACCGTGACGCTGCTCCTTGTTTCCCCTTCACAGTGTGCCGCCTCGTGGAAAAACTCTCGCTGGCCAAGATGCCGTTCAAGAACGACGAGGTTATCGGTAAGGCGTCGCGCGCATCGAGAAGAGCGAGCGGCCGCTCGCTCGGCCAGCCATCGTTTGCATCAATGTACTTTGACACACGCGTACATTTTTCAAAGAGAGGCGGGGCTTTATTTTTCCCTCGATATTTTCCGCCTGGAAACGCCGCCCCATGGGCCGCCTGGAAGTCAGAGATTGTCCTGCAAAAGGCATGGCCACTTTAGTGCAAGCTGTGTCTACCCATAACAATCCTGCTTTACAGACGGCTGGCAGTGGCTAATCGACGACTGCCTCAAGAATCTGCAAAGGTTCAACAATCCAGACGGCATTAAGGTACCAATAACAACAACCAGTAAACATCCGATGTTGGGCCAACTAGGCAAAAGCAAATCGATGTATAAATACGGAGCCATCTTTTTGTCATTGCGTTCTCGTCCATCGTTTGGCCACGGGGCCTCCGGTGGGCCGTAGGTTTTTTTTCCGCGGCGCCCCGGTCGGGAAAACCGGCGCCCTCCGTTCCCATCGGCTGTGTTCGGTGGGCGTGGCACCGTCTCGTTGCGCAGCGACTGCGATCTTTCCCCACGAGCAAAGGGTTGGGTTAACCGTGCGAGCTCGCCACTTGTCTGTGCGGCTAATTGTCAGCCCACGTTTATTCCGCTCGACCTCTTTGTTTGAAACCTTTGGCTTGGAGAGACGGGCTCGCGCACGTGCGCACGAGGCTGAGCTGCCAGCAGTGTTGTTTGTGTACGGAGGAACCTGCCTCGATGGCTCTTGTGTGTGTAAGCCCCTGTTTGTTTCACATCAACAAACACACACGCGCGCAGACACACGCTCGCGCGCGCAGACAAAGCACAGCCATTGAATGAACTTAATTGGATAAAAGCGTGTGTGTGTGTGTGTGCTGGCGGTGATATTCACGTTTGAGCCCATCATGCAGATTGTTGTCGCAAGCCTTTTGGCTCCGAGATAAGGAGCGTAAACCATCAGGAGCATAAACCATCACGCAAACTCCGGTCATCCTCACTGCGGCTTTTGGCTAACCATCGAATCAAGACGGTCACCACATCACGTGCTTTCAGATGCGCTTCTGAGGCTGTCTGGAATGCTCTTCCGTCCTATATCAGGAAGCCACCGGAGCAATGCACTGTTCAATCAAAATTGAAAACTCATTTATTTAGAACTGCTTTTTGTTTTTAGCTTGTGGTCCTTCCCCCCGCACCTCCGATTAGCGGGGTTGGCTACGTACGGTGCGAAAGAAGGTCAACGTGCATACGATGCATTCGGTTGAATTCGAATGGAACCCAGGCACAAAAACACGAACAATACCGATTGTACGGCCCGTGAGGCGTGCATCCGGTCGCGTGAGTAAGAACCGATGTATTATTGGTGAATGCCAATGATATACCAATGTTACGTGTAGGATAATGACATGAAAAAAAATGACACAAACTAGATGGAAACAAAATCATAAAGAGTACAGATGAGTTAAAGCTTTCGTGACTGCAGTAATTCATATTCTTAGCTCTTTCGGTAAAGTCACGTTAAAGGGAAACAATAAAATAATAAAATATCATCAGGTTTTCGCACCTGATGATGACCGTTTGTGTTATGGTCGAAACGTCGTGAGAATTTTTATTGTTATATATTTAATTATTTTATTGTTTCCCTTTAACGTGACTTTACCGAAAGAGCTAAGAATATGGAGTACAGATGAGTTAACACGTAGGTTTTCGCAGCCACTTTCATCAATCGTAATACATTTTTGTATTCGGCCACATAACCATCTGGCCAAATTGTGGCCGTAAGACTCTCCACCGCCTGACATAACCGATCTAATTAATGACCAACGCGTACAAGCGTTTAGCGCGCCAATCGTGGTGGTCTCAGCTCACCCGCTGGTGGGTCGGAGAATGATTCCCGCGGACAAGTCTAGCAACAATTAGATGAGCGACATTTCGCTTTAAACTAGAAGTCGCGGAGGAGCTGTATCGCCTGGCGGCACCCGAAATCCTCGACGAATCTGAGTACAATTGAGGTGAAGACGAGGCAGCAGCTAGCGAATTCGCGGCTCGCGGATCCCCGCGTTGGGGTGGATGGATGAATCGCGACGCCGCTAATGTTTGGCGTTTGGAAGCTTTTTCCCACAGCCGCGTTCACGGTGCTTGTTCGTGGCCAAGTAATTTGCATCGCTTGACAGCTGCTTGGAAGAGATGTATCAAAAGTACATTCCTATTCCGTCAGTATACGAGAGACAAACCATTTATCTTTTGTCATCCTTGAAAATAATTACTTTGCGGAGCTTCGTTTAATTCCCCACCCCCCCCTCCCTGACTCGCAGGTCTGGCATGAACAGATCCGTTTGTTGCCGGTGCCTGAGGCTTCATTATTTTGCCGAGCACGGATCTCGAGTTTCCCTCCCTTCTCTCGTTTTCGGGGCCAAACCAGTCGAGTCCCCCCCCCCCCCCCCCCCCCCCCCCCGAGTCGATGTCCACACTCTCCGGGCTTCGCGATGAGCTACCCCGCACCCGGACCAAGCCTCCTCCCACGCTGATGCCATCGCCGCTTCGCACGAGCATAGGTCTCGGAGTCGAAAAGCCATGGGCGGTTTCCTGCTCATACGAGCATTGAGGTGGCGATCCCAACGTTTTACACGGTGAGCTCTTGCGAATGGGACATCTTGATCATTCGGCAGCTTTTGCGATTGACTTTGAAAGAGCAAGTTAACTCTGTTGTCTGCCCGTGTCGGTATTAGTGGACACATTCGTGCGCAGTATTTGACTCTTTATAGTGGAGCAAATGTGGGAAATGTATTCAGAATCAGAATATGTATTTATAATGGAGGAATCTGATGAGCTATCAAGCTCTTTTTCACAGATGTCCAGTCAGGGCTCGGGGGTAAGAACGTTACAACAACAAATAGTACAAAAACACGATAGGAGTGCAAAGTACAAGAACGGTGAACAAACACAGACAAATACAACACTAAACCATCCCCATCGTACCAGGCAAAGCCCACTGAGGTACTAACGTATTGTTCAGAAGGGACCATGGGCAAAAATGATAGCTCGACAAAGTGGCTTATCATTTGGACATTTATATGGTGGAATGATTACAAAATTAATAATAACCTATGAACCCAGGGAAGCCACGCCGAGTCTGAAGATTCTTTTTCAGGAGGATCCGGTCTTGGGATTTGGGATGTCGGCCAACACCTAGATATTGTCTGTGGGAGGAATAAAACCCAGGCCCTTCTCACCTGTGGGAGGCACAAAGTGTTACCACTGCGCCACTAAGACTGTGATCGTAGGGCCCACCTCCAGCGTCCTATAAAGAATCGATTGTTGGTCGTGCACGCGGTGACGCCTGCGGCAAGAATGTCCGTGAACTTTCATGACTGTAAAAAAAACGGGCGTTAAAGGGGAAATAATTCAACACCGTTCATATTTTATTCAAAATAAAAAAAACACCCCTTTTGTTCTATGGCGTGCCGTTTGAGCGCACCTGTACGGATTACACACTCGTGTAAAAAATAAAAACCCCTTCTCTGCAATAAAGACAATAACGTAAGCGCGCAATTAAATAAGTAAACAGCTCGGGATCGATTAGCCAGTGGCGCCACAACGTTGTCGCTGCGCTCGGTTTATAATTTATTTCCGCCGAGTAATTACGGCCGCCCCCATTGTAGACGGGTTGCGCTTTCTTGTAATGCGACCTTTTTGAAAAATCCCAGGCACCGCAGCAATTAAGGCTAGGGCATTGTCCGAGCCGGGGAGGGGTGGGAGGGGGGAGCTGGGGGCAGAGGGGGGGGGGGTGCGGTGAGGGGGAGGTGCGGCAGCCACAATGGGGACGCGTCGGGAGCGGCAAACTCCGCGCCACTACCCTCGCCCTGCCCGGCCCCGCTCCTCCACGGAGCCCGCGATGTACAGGGCTGGCACCCCCACCCCCACGCGCGCGCCCTTGGGAAACGTGCCCGCCGGGCACCCTCGCTGGCGACTCGTCAGCTCGCACGCACGGGGTGCGGGGGGTGGGGGGGGGAGCACCGCGCGTGGGATTCGTGCGCCGCTTTTGTTCGCTTCGCGGGCGGCCTCGCTCGGGATCGGCGGCGGGCGCCGGGGCACCTGCTAATTGGTGCCGATTGTTCGGCGAGCCAGCACGTGACGGTCGCCCTCGGGCCGGCCCCGGCGAGGGGGTGCCGTCTGAATAACATCACGCGACGGACAGCTGTGGGGGTCCTGCCTGGTCCCCTCCGTGGTGGCCGACGCCGCCGCCCGCCTCCGCCCGCGACATCGCCCCGTCGGCCAAACCCAGCCGCATGAATAATGCAGGGATCGGCGTTAATAATTCACTCGCGCGTCACAAATTCATCGCGAGCATTTTGCAATGAAATACTGCAGCTGGCGACAATAGAATGGGAGGTAAACGATGCTGGAATTAGATGTCTGCCCCTGTTAAGCCAGTCCGGCCCCGGGCTAGGTTACATTGACTCCGCCGCCGCAATTGTCCATTAGACTGCGTCGGGGACGAGGAAGGCGACGTTGCTTGATTCACCCCATGAACGCGTGGAGCGTGGTCCGATATTGAGTTTAAGGTGCTCGGTGTCATTAAACACGCAGCATGCCCAGCCAGCGTCTTCCGTAACCCGGCAATCTCGTCCACCCGTCGCCCCTCCACCGGAAAGTGGAAGGGCATTCAGGCCTGGTCGGTTAATGTCCCGCCCGCAGCAGAAACGCGCGTGGGCACACGAACACACTACTCTCGTCTCTTACGTGCGTGCGCCTTTTGCTTGAAGTAAAAGTCGGTTTAAATACCATTTACTTCATGTACCTCCTGTAGGTCTCAACTAATCATCCTGCCTGCCAGAGTGGATAACATACACAACGCTTTGTGGGAAGTAAGCAGTGAGAGTCCAGTAGAGAGAGAGAGAGAGACAGAGACTGGGCCCTGCTCTGTGATTATGCCACCCTCCAATACTCGCTCAGGGACGCAAACAGAGATGATCACCAGCCCATGCTGATTCGAGCAGGAAGAGCACTTGGATTTCACCTCCAGGTGTTGGAGGTGGCATCATCGGGCGACACGGATGGCAGTGTGAGCGGGGAGGTTCCCCGTGTGGTGCGTGACCGGGGCTTGCTCGCGATGCTGCTGCTGCTGCTCCTGCTACGGGCTAAGTGCACCGCCGTTCGCGTGGGAGGCAGGCGATGCGTGATGACCCCGTCTTCCGACGCGCTCATCGGAGATGGCTCTTCCGCCTGCCTCTATAGACGACGCGCTCGCGCCTTCACCCTCGCGTGCCCCCCAGTGTCCCCCCTCCTCCTTTTGCGCGCCGCTGTGGC